TATTTACTTTTTATTTTGTTGTTTGTGCTTTTGATGTCATATCTAAGAAACTATTGATTAACTCAGAAAACAAAAATTTATTCCACTTTTTTCTAAGAGTTTTATAGTTTTAACTCTTACATTTAGGTCTATGATATATTGTGAGTTAATCTGCGTTACTGGTGTGAGGTAGGGGTCTAAGTTCATTCTTTTACATGTGAACATCCAGTTGTCCAGCACCGTTTGTTGAAAATATTATTTTCTTCCTATTGAATCATCTTGGCAACTTATTGAAAATCAATTGATGATATAAGGTTTATTTCTGGACTCTTAATTCTGTTCCACTTATCTATATGTTTTTTTGAGGTAACTTTTATTTTATTTTAATTACAGTTTACATTCAATATTATTTTGTATTAGTTTCAGGTGTATAGCACAGTGGTCAGACAATATTTTATATTAGTTTCCTACTGCTGCTATAAAAAGTTACCACAAACTTAGTGACTCAAAATAACACAAATTTAGATTACAGTTGTGGAGGTAAAAATAATTTGAAATGGTCTTACTAGGCCAAAACCAACTTGTTGGCAGGGATGTTTGCCTCTGGAGGTTATAGGACTGCCTTGCCTTTCCTAGCGTCTAGGGACTGCATGTATTCCTTGACTGTGTCTCTCTTCCAACTTCAAAGTCAGTTCTTGCACTACTCTGTCCTCGCTTCTGTCATCACATCGTCCCCTCTCTCACTCTTCTGATCTCTTCTTTCACATCATAAGAATCCTTGTGATTACACTGTGCCCACCCAAATAACCCAGGATAATCTCCCCTTCACAAGATACTTAATCACACCTGCAAGTTCTCTTTTGCTCTGTAAGGTAATGTATTGTATTCCCAGGCTGTGGGGATTCGCACATGGGCATCTCTGGGGAGGCTGCTATTCTGTGTACCACATATTCTTATGCTAGCACCTCACTTTCTTCATTACTGTAGCTTTGTAGTAAGTTTTAAAACAGGAAGTGTAAGTCCTTCAACTAGTCTTTTCTGAAGATTGTTTTGGTTATTCTGAATCCCTTGCATTTCTATGTGGATTTTAGGATCACCTTGCTAATTTCTGCAAAAAACCTAGATGGTATTTTGATATTCATTGTGTTAAATTTATATATCTTAACAAGATTAAGTCTTCTGGTGGATAAACATAGGAGAGCTCTTCATTTACTTAGATTTTCTTTACATTTTCAGTAGTATGTATACTTTCCAGTGGACTAGACTTGTACTTTTTTGGTACATTTATTTCTTTTTTTAAAAAAATATATTTTATTGATTTTTTTACAGAGAGGAAGGGAGAGGGATAGAGAGTTAGAAATATCAATGAGAGAGAAACATCGATCAGCTGCCTCCTGCACACCCCCCATTGGGAATGTGCCCGCAACCAAGGTATATGCCCTTGACCGGAATCGAACCTGGGACCCTTGAGTCCACAGGCTGATGCTCTATCCACTGAGCCAAATGGTACATTTATTTCTAATAAAGCATTTCTAAGTGTTTTAAATTTTTGAGGCCATGGTAAATTGAATTGTTTTCTTAATTTTATTTTGGGTTTGTTCATTGCTAGTATACGTAAATAAAATTGACATTTGTATATTGATCTTATGTTCTGCAACTTTGCTAAACTTGCTTATTAGTTGAAATACTTTTTCTGTGAGTGTCATAGGATTTTTTAAATGTATAAGATCATGTTATCTGAAAATCAAAATAGTTTTATTCCTTTTTTTTCCAATCTGAATGCCTTTTTGTTTGTATCCCTTGCTCAGCTGAGATGGCCAGAACGTCCATTCCAATGTTGAATAGAGTGGTAGGAGTGGGTATCTTTGATCTCTTCTTGATCTTAGAAGGAAATAATTCAGTTTTCATCATTAACTATGATGTTAGCTCTGGGTTTTTCATAGATATCTCATCAGGCTAAAGAAATTCCCTTTATTTCTAGTTTGTAGAGTGGTTTTTTTTTAAACATGAAAACATTTATCAAATGCTTTTTCTTCATCTATTGAAATGATCATGTGCTAATATATTTTTGCATCTACTTTTATGAGCTATTCTCCTGTAATTTTATTTTCTTGTGATATTGTTGTCAGTCATTCCATGTGTTTTTTACTTTTAAATTATCTTTTTGAGGTATAATTCATATATAAGAAATTAAACTTATTTAAAGTGCACAATTGTTAATTTTAGACATAGAAATATACTTATGAAATCATTACCACAATCCAAATAATAAATGTATCCATTATTCAGATGCACTTTGTAATTTCTCTCTCCTGGCCTTCTCCCTCTCCTTCATTCTCAGGAAACCACTGATCTGCTTTCCATTACTGTGACCTAGAATTTTATATAGATGGAATCATAAAGTATAAGTCCTATGCATTTCAACAACAATTTTGGAATCAATTTGTCAGTTCCTATAATAAAAACCTGTGGGGATTTTGATTGTATTGATTTAATGATGCTGCCTATAGGCTTCAAAAATATATACTTTTATATTCTCTATTCTGACTGGCTTTAACAGGCTCCCTTGGCAAAGCTCTTCCTTTGTAATCACGAACTCAATCCTATTTCCCTCCTTTCCCCATTTCCTTGGGTATTGGCCTTGATCGTAGTCTCTTTCATCTTTTGCTTAGCTGAGCTCCAATCTCCTTCAATCTCATATTTTTATTTTATCCTTTTGCTATTACTCATTATAAAGAACAGAAATGTAAATCTGTATGAATTTCCCAAAGGATGACAAAGGAGTACAAGAATCTAGGATGGGCCTGTGACTTAGAGGTGCTTTTTATTTTATTTTATTGTATTTTTTTTTATTGTAGGTCTTGGATCCTCAAGAGAAGTGTGGAATGTATTCATTCATACGTTAGGGTACATTGCCTTGAAAACCATCTTGGGGAAAAGCAGGGTATAAATAATAAATTAAAATATCCTTCCAGTTACCAGTCTTTGATATGCCAGGTATGGTATAAGGAACTTCTGATAAATTGTGGATATGGGGCATTAAGACAGATCTGTTATCTATTATTAGAGCCTGGATATAGGAAGCCCATTTTTGGATGGTTTCTTCCCCCTGGGTATCCTGAACTGGGTGTTAAAGAGTGAAACATGTGTTTTAGATGTAGAAATTCATGAATAAAATGGCCTTTGGGTAAGCCTAGGTATTTTAAACATCTGGTTCTCAAATGCAGAAATCAACATTCTATTTCTCTTTATGTAAGAACATCACATAGGTAGGGGGAAATTCCAGCGCCACAGCAAAAGCCTTCTAACTGATTTCATTGTCTTCATTCTGTCCTCATAGTATCATATTTTAGTATTTCTATTTTCCTAAAACACAGATATGATTGTTTCTCTCTAACTTTAAAAGATTAGTCTTTGACAGTCTTCTATTTCCTCCAGATTAATGCTCAATTTCCATCACTTGACACTAAAAATTATTTACTGCTTATTTCCTTTCACTTTCTACATCTCTTACAACTCTCTATTGCAGCAATGTGACTAGGCTATGCATTTTCACATCTGTGTATCTTTGCTTCTTCTATTTCCCCTGCCTAGAATGTCTTTTCTACTTTTGAAATTATATCTATCTTTCAATACTCAGCTCCAATTCACATTCTGTGAATTTTAATTCTCCCAAGTCACAATTGCCACCTTTTTTGAGTGTTCTGGAGTTATAAGAGCTAGCATTTCTGATATGCTTACTAAAAGGTAGATCTTTTTATTACACCACTTTTTAGTTAACAGACACACAGCTGGTAAGTGGCAGGATGCAATTGCAATGGATGCTTCTTTCTTTTTTTAAAAAAATATATTTTATTGAATTTTTACAGAGAGGAAGGGAGAGAGATAGAGAGTTAGAAACATCGATGAGAGAGAAACATCGATCAGCTGCCTCCTGCACACCTCCTACTGGGGATGTGCCCGCAACCAAGGTACATGCCCTTGACCAGAATTGAACCTGGACCTTTCAGTCCGAAGGCTGATGCTCTATCCATTGAGCCAAACTGGTTAGGGCTGGATGCTTCTTTCATCTATTACTCAAACCTTTGATTATGGCCCTTACAACCTCTCTCCTTTTCCTCTCTCTCTTACTTTATGACAGGAAATGGCTGTTCCATTCAAGTACTGACATTCTCTCTATGTTGTACTGCCAACAATTGACTGAAATTTCATGTTCTCAGTTTCAATTCATGAAAAAGCTAATCTGAATAGAGCAGGTACTCATCCCTGGCCCACCCACATAGAGGACAACAAGGGGTATTCCCAAAACGACCTCATGGTTGTAGACAGTTCTCAGGGAAGGGAGGACCTACGGCAAGAAGCAGACACCTCTAAAAATACTACTTACTTTACATTAATAGTCATATCTTGATAAATTAATGTTTTATTTGCTGTGTTTTTCATGTTATTCTGGTAAGAATAATTTGTTTGGTTGCTTTCTTTTTAAAAAAATATGTTTTTATTGATTTCAGAGAGGAAGGGAGAGGGAGAGAGAGAGAGAAACATCAATGATGAGGATCATTGATTGGCTGCCTCCTGCATGCTCCTTACTGGGGATAGAGCCTTCAGCCCAGGCATGTGCCCTTGACCAGAATCATACCTGGGACCCTTCAGTATGCAGGCCAACGCTCTATCTACTGAGCCAAATCAGCTAGGGCTACAAGTTTGAACATTTCAGTCCCAGAGCCCTGCTCCTTAAACTTCATTGAGCAAGACAACAGCAAAAACAATGTCTTCATTTTTAGATATTTTCCATGTTGCCTAGATGTTTGAAAACACTTTGTACTTGGCGGCTAGGGTTTTTTTTTAAAAAAGTTTAATAGTAAGATAGTGCTCTCAGTGTTAAAAAGTGACTGGATACCATGCAATGCCACATTTCTTTCCAATAGGTGTCTAACTTTTTCAAGAAACAGCTAATCTCTTATAGAAATCCACTTGAATGCAGATGATGTAAATCCTTTTCTTTGTATCTTTCAAGGTTTTATCAAAAGCTATGTACAATTTTACTGCCTCTGACAAGCAGTGAAAAGAAGTTGTTTTTCTCACTGCTTACCTCCTTGGTAAGTTGGTGATGCCTCACAAAGAAGATATTACCCCCCACTTGAGTAAAGTGTCAGATATTTTCCATCATTTCAGTAGGAATGGCAGCCAGATCCATCACTGCACAGTGAGCCATGCCAGAGGGAAGGATGTCCAGGAGTGGACCACAAATTGCCTCCCAGGACTTTGGATCATTGTTCATTAATTGAGTGCTGACAGTGTGTTTGCCTCGCTGTTAAGTGAGAGAGAAGAAACAGACTCAATTTTCGGCATTCAATGTCTGAGTCAGTCAGATAGTACATTGGGTAGATTGAAATACTCTGATGGCTACATCTCAGGTAAGAGTTGCTTTATTTTTATGGTATAATATCTTCTGATGGAATGGGGAAATTATAATTTAATAGCATTAAAGAGTTATGCAGCTAAAAAAAATGGAGAGATAAAAAGTAGTTTCCTAATGAAAAATAAATTAATCCATCTTTTTTCCTTTTGTCATCTAAATCCCTCTTCTCACCCTCAAAGCTTGTTCTATGTGTAGGAGAGAATAACCTTCATAAATGAGGCCAAATTCATTTGATTTCCCTGGAGATTTGTGGTTCTTCAATATTAGTGCAGATTCCTTGTGTATGCTGCAGGAGGTGAGATTGGGTGAGAGCCAAACTGAGTCTTCATCATCTAACCATGCCTAGAAAATGCCAGTTATTCTAATTGGGTTATCTCTCCTGTTAACAAGTCTCTTTGTTTTCTTAGACAGCTATGTAGGGAATTCTCCACAAGTTCTTCCTATCTCATCTGACCCAGATGTTGTCTATATAAGGACAAAAATGTGAACACATCTTAAAAAATTTGAAACAACTTTAGATTGTTAGATTCCCCTGGGGCAGGATAGCTTAAGAATGTAATACCTTCATGTTTGTGGTAAGTGACTGATGAATTCAATAAAAGAGTTTGATTTTTTGATAGGAATTATTTCTTGGGAAAGTATCACTGATTCACAGAAGAGAACTAATTGCACCTACATGTTATTCTGATTCTGTGAGGATGAATATGTATTTATTTATTATATTGAATGAGGAGGAAGGGAGATAAAATTGAGGTACAAGAAATAGAGGTCAAAGGGAACAAACTTGCTTTTTGGCAGATACAAGAGGAATAAGGATTACAGCTAAAAACACAAAGTAGGAATTCGGGATTTTTGGAAAAAAATACTTATGACCATCAGGTAAATATCACATTACCTCCAAATTAACTTTATGGTAACACATTTTTTCTTATATGTTGATGTAGAAATTAAAGATATAATTTCTTTGCAAACCAACTGTGCATCTTGTAATTGATTTCTTCTATGGAGACAATATTTTGGCTGAATTTTTTGGCTCAATAGTTATATATTTCTTGTGCATCTATTATGCACTGGAGGTTCCTAGGATTGGAACTAGAGTATATGTCCATTCCATTACCATGATGTCCACACTCATCACCACAAAAAACACAGACATGATTGCATTCCTTATAGAAGGCAAATTTAACTCAGATATTTTAAACACCCATATTCAATGTAGCTCTAATGCAAGATCAACCTATATGAAGCCATTTTTTCTGATGGTTTCTACAATAAAAATATTTTGGCCAGCAGAGCTGTGGTGGGATTTGAGCTTGTTGCAAGCTGACTAGTATGGATGTCAATCCAAAGACCACTCAGTATAGCAGAGCAGCCTTTGGGATTTTGAACATGTTGGATTCCTCCTCCAAAAGCATCTATAATGAACAGAGTTATTTTGAAAGCATTCCCTGCAGTTCATGCCTTAATTCAATCATCTGGGAATAGGAAAGCAGATCCCTCTCAATACACCACTAACTTGGATTTCTATGGTATTATGCACAATCTTCTCATTTATTTTTACAGTGATAGAGTGGTTTCTGAGCCAAGTTCTGCAGGCATGTGGGGGAGAAGGAAAAGGTTTAGATGGTTCTAAATTTGTGAAATAACTGACATTTTTTATTTTTTTGCTTTTCTTCAGAAATGAAAACAAACACCAGTAAACTGCACACCTTAGAGCAGAAGGATGCAATTCTTGGCCTCTTGGCTCATTTTGGCAAAAATCAACCCCTTTGATTCAAGAATGTTTTGTTTGTACCAGTGCCCTTTACATCCTATTGCCTGTGTTCTGAGAATTGCTTCTCTAGCTTTTTATTAACTTGATTTACTACTTTTAACCAGAAAATTAAAAAAGAGAAACTAAACTATGGAGGAGAAGTAGATTCTCTGACCTAGCTACATTAATCATGAAAATGGTATCCATCATCTCCCTTAGCGTTTGCTTAGAGCTTTCATAGAAGTGACTGCTCCTTATTAACACCCTCCTTCCCTAGAGGAGGTAATTTATTAGCAAGAGGTTCTGATTTCTGAAGATTTTGTTACTTCTCAGATATAGATGCAATAAATAATTATGGAGACATGAATTAGATAAATACATGCTAATGAAAAAAGCATTATTATATATACACATGAAACTCCAGTGACCTAGCACTGTTCTTTTTATTTATTTACAATCTTTCTCCAAATCCTTCTCTCTCTCTCTGTTTGTTTTAAATTATTAGATACAGCCTTCAGTATTTACCATGTAGTGGACACTAATTGTTGATGTGCATTTTAGAGCAAGCAAAATACTCATTTACTATATAGTTATTAAAGAGAGTGAAAGTGGTGGTGTGAAATAATTCTCCAAGAAGCCTAAATAAGCAAACATGCTTAAACAACAAAAAGTTCATCACGGGAAATTCCTTCCCTATACATAATAAAATCTCATAGATTGTTTTCAAGGCTTAACAGTATTAATTGCAACAAGTCATTTCCAATATAGAATGCATCACAAATACTCCTCTTCAGTATCTAGCTGAATTGGAGCCATGTAAATGTGTTTGCTATACCCAAGAACAATGTGAGGAGAAATGGTTTATGATTTTATAACATAATTGAAAACAGCAAGAATAAAAGGTAAAATCAACTACTGAAGGAATTTTACTGCTCTCGGATTCTAGATTTTTTTTTAAGGAAAATATCTGGACTTCCGACCCAGTAAGGAAATAAGATTTGGTATATGGAAAATCTCTTCTAAGGCAAAAGGGAGTATGAGTAGTTCCTTGATTAGTCTGTCCTATATTTATTTTATCTTGGTTTGCAACTTTGCTGTTTAACTCCTGAACTAAATGTTGAAATTGCTTTAACTTCATTTAGGGACCATTTTAATTTTAGTTTGGACTTTTTCAGTATAAGAATGCATAAAAATAAAAAGTTGATGGAATTACATTTAACTGTAGAATATGATAATAAATATTTGGCACATAATTCCCAGAACATTAGATCTCAAGTAGAATCGAAATTAGTTAATAGTAGATATTCAAAGTAATGAATTTTATTGCAATAAAGTAATTGCATTTTATTCTTTTAAGACAATAATTTTGTGCCAGAATTAACTGGGAATCAGCTGAGGCAGTCCTCATATAAAGCTGTAAGCTTGTTGATGTGGTAAGGTTAGAAACATAAAGATTATGTCTTAGATGTTTTGATGTAATCACCATTTATTAAAGAATAATGGACATTAAGGAATCACAGTTCATCTCTGCCATTCTATCCTAAAAGCCTGGTTTAATTTTTTTATAATAAATGTTTTTTATTGATTTCAGAGAGAACAAGAGAGGGAGAGACAGAAACTTCAATGATGAGAGAGAATCATTGATAGGCTGCCTACAGCACTACCCCCTACTGGGGATCGAGCCCCCAACCTGGGTATGTGCCTTGATCGGGAATCAAATGATGACCTCCTGGTTCATAGGTCGACACCCAACCACTGAGCCACACTGGCCAGGCATGGCTTAATTTTATTGAACCAAAGTTGAAAGCTATTGCCACATTCTCCTGCTTCACCTGCTAAGTTCTGGCAGATATTTAGAACACTGGATGAAGAAGTGAATGAGCAGACTGTGGTTCTAAAACAAAGGGTCTGAAAGAGCATATGAACCTTCTCTCTATTTCAAAAATTTATTAGAGCTGCTTCTCTCTTGAACATTTATCACTACGAACATAATTTGTAGTTTTAATTTCCAGTTTGTATACTTGTTAACACTGAGTTAAAACGTTTAAAATTCTGTTACACTTGATATGACTCTTTTAAATATTTTTCCCACAAAATTTAATAAAAAAAGTTATGTCCCTTTGAATCTGCAACACTGAACAAGAGAGTGATTGGCTATAATAATATTGGGTAATTGAGTTGTGTTGGTGCCTGGATTTAAAAATGATGCAGACAATACAGAGATATCATGTTTCTGTTTCCTATGAGATCTCTTCTTCTTTCTTGAACCCTTCAATGTCAATATCTTTTGTTGAAATCACTAATAATTAAATTTTTGAAAAGTATAGATCATGCTCCCAGGAGAGGCACTCCAGCAAGGATACCTAATTGCTTGTCAGCTACAAGTTAAATGTGGCTTACCAAATGGCTTTAGCATGCCAAAACATAAAATGAAATAAGAATCCAGAACTTAATAAAAATGGCCTCCAATGGAATTCTTCAGAGAAAAACGTCAATCAGCAAAGCGAATTTTATGCCAATGTCTAAAGACACTATGATTTTGTTCTACCATCCAGGAAAGAGGAACCCTTATTTCACGGTCAGTTATTCTTGGCTTGGCAAAACATAGGGAAGCTGGTGTTCCTCTAAGCTCCAAACCTGGGTTTGGCACTAATTTTGTATATATTCTGTTTTAGGCTCGGGCCCATATCAGAGAATACCTAAATTGACACTTCATTTTTCCCCTTTTCAAATTTGCAGTACCAAGGCTGGGTTTGATGTTGGAATTGGTCTTTGGAGGTGAGAAAAGAGAAACAATTTATTTGTCTGGAAATTTTCTTAGTCATAGTCTCTATGAAAAGAAGAGCGACTTTTTTTGACATCAAGTTCAAGTCACATTAGCATTCTATGGAGCAACAGTTGCAAGCCGACTGCTTTTTTTGGGTGTGATATTTGGACACTCTTCAGCCAATGCCTTGAACATACTTTTACACCCTCTTATTGTTGTTGTTGTTACTGAAAAATGAGAAATCAGGAGGTCTCAGTGACCCAAAAACCAAGAGTTGAGGCATAGTCAAGCTGACGATGTTGAAATGTCACTTCAACAGTCACAAAGATGGTAATGATTTCTACTCTTATGTTTTATAGTTTAAAAGTACTTCTTGTAAATAAACTGTGACACATCCGGACAATGGAATACCATTCAGTGCTAAAATGAAATGAGCTATGAAACTATGAAAAGAGTTGGAGAAACATTAAAACAAGTTAGTAGGTGAAATAAACCAATCTGAAAAGGCTACCTACTGTGTGATTTCCACTATATGACATTCTGGAAAAGACAAAACTGAAGAGGAAATAAAAAGATTAGTGGTTTCCCAGCGTTAGGGACTAGGAATAGATGAATAAGTGGAGCACAGAATTTTTATGTCAGTGAAACTATTCTGTATGATACTATAATGGTGTGTACACATCAGTATTTACATTTATCAAAACCCATAGAATGTACAACCCAAGAGCAAACCTGAAGCTAAACTATAGACTTTATCTCCATACCCTACAGTCTTTCTATTACCTTTCACAGCTTTTTGTGAATGAGCCTTAGAGGGCACAACTAAGTATGAAAGTTACGAGACAAGATTAGAATTAAATGGACAAAGCATTCCAAATTTAAAAAGCACAGAAAAAATGACATTAATGTATGAGAGATATACCTAAACAAAAAGGAATCACTGTAAACTGTGTAAATACCTATAAAATAGTGTTTTTAAATATGAAATATTGAAAAGTGAAAAAAATTGCTCTAGCATATGATAGTGTCTTGGAAACATTCTTTTTGTAGATAAATTGCTTTTAGAACTACAAAAGAGTGATTTTTGGAAGTATTTATAGTATTTCTATGGTAGATTTGACCAATATGTGGTTATTCATACCTTGGGTGTACAATTGATCTTCTTTCTTTTTAAAATATGTCCTTTTAAAAAGACTGCCTGGAAGACGTTTAAAGGGAATGTGTTGATACTCAACTCTATTATAACAGACGTTAGATGTGCTTGAAGTTCTTTTGTCAAAATTGGTCTAGATCTCACCAAGGTTGTTTTCAAGTTCAGAAATTCATGTCATTGACATCATGCCTGTATCATCAGGATCTGTCCCTAATTTGGCTAAATTAAATATTTATTCAAAACCACAATTTAATTATTTTTAATAATCCATTAAAAAATCTTACCTTAAAAATTGGAATTAAGTTCAGATTAATTATAATAAAAAAATACCCTTGGCATTTCTTTAGGCTTCTACCCTAGGATTTTCTAATTTAATCACATTTTAAAATAAATTCAATTTCTGTGCTTATAATGAAGTAACATTGATTTATAATGTTAGGTGGTAGAGAGCACATGAGCTTTGGAGTCAGAGCTACTTGGGTTTGAATCCTGACTCTACATTACTTCTCATTCCAAGTCTCACTAATTGCCCATGGCTTGCAGTTCAATAGCAGAACAATTAGTGTTGTGTTTATGGTTATTGTTGTTCTTTTATAAAATCTGCTCTCCCAGCATTTTGCCAAGGGTTCTTATGATTTCACTACAATCTCAGACATTTAGTTACTTCACAAAAGTCTTATGCAGTCCTTTGGTGTTATCCTCCTAATTTCTACTATCACCTTCCCCTCTCTACAATATGCCGCATTGCACTTACTATCCCCAGCCTTCAATCAGGTATCTCTTTAACAGGGTTTGGAGCTAAATATCTTGCTTCTTCATATTAACCAGACTGTACCATGGGCATATTTCAAGTGTTTAGCAGGTAATTTCCAGGCAGTGGTTTAATTCTTGGTGAGGTTTAGGCAAGCATTCATTCACACCATCTTGTATCTGGTGTACAAAGAGGGAACTTTCTAAAAATTGAGCTCGGGTTCTTACTGGAGGTGTGAGCTACAACATAAACAGAGGACCAAAAATATTTTTAGAAAATTAATAAGCATGAGTTTTGGTGATTCATATTAATTTTCTCTCTAAATTAAAACCAGAATTAAGTTTTAGAAATTTAAAAATTTTATAGGAAAGTACAACCAAAAAATGCAATGTAATAATCATTTTGCCACCAGCAAGAATGAACCATCATTGACATTTTACTGTGTTTGCTTCCCATTTTCATTATTTTTTAATGGAACAATCACTTTGCCATTTTTATAAAATTGACACGTTCCCATACTATGACTCCAGATAATCCAGTAAAAATAAGATTAAAATAATTTAAAAAATGTATTCCCAACACCCAATAACAAACATCAACATTTGTTAAACATTATTATAGACATCTTTTTAAAAATTAAATTTATTGATATGACATTGGTTAATAAAATTGTGTAGGTTTCAAGTGTACAATTCTATGATATATCATTTGTATATTGCATTGTGTGCCCACCAACCATAGTCAAATCTTCTTCTATATAATTATATAGAAGAAAGATGGGAAGATATCCTATATAATAAAAGGCTAAAGTGCAATTGTCCCCTCTACCTGGAGTTCTACCAGGGCCTGGGCCGGCCAGCCAAATGCCCATGGCCCTCCCCCAGGCCACCCAGCCTGATTGGCTCTGACTGGGGCAGGCCAGCCGGACCCCACCAGTGCATGAATTTGTACACTGGGCAGGCCTCTAGTACTTTTATAAAAATGAGATCAAGTTATTGATACTGTTTCTGATAAAAATTATATATACTTTGAACTGAATTAAACATAAAATCAAACTGAACTGAAATATAAAGGAATCATAAAACTTCATATATATGGATAGATATGTACAATATGTATGTTTAAATATGTCTATTTATCATTAATTCATCACAAAAGATATTTTTTTCTGAAATATTCTGCTTAGGTAAAGAAAATAGATAATGGAAGTTTATGAAGAAGTTGAAGACATTGTGTTTTTACATTTAAAACAATTTTTATGTAGTGGCAATTGACTCCCTGCAGTAAAAGAAGAGCTTGGTGTTAACTAATCCCATAAACAGCTTCCTTGATTTTTTTCCTCATTGTCCCAGCACTTAATACTCATTTGTTTCAGAAACCATATTTCTCATAATATTTTTAAATTAATTATAAATTTTAAATTACTACCAAGACCTTATTATTCCTGAGTTTAAATTTTTTTTTTATTTTGGGTTTTCTTTTGAGTATCTACACTTATCAAGTAAAGCTAGTGGGTTGTATATTCCTCAAATTATTTCATATTTGAAAATGATTGTTGATTTATTGCCTTTATACTAGAATGCCATTAAAACAAAGTACAATATTCTTTTTCTTTCTTTCTTTTTTTTTTTTAAAGCACAATATTCTTGGGTCATACTTTTTATTTCCTTCAGAATTTTGTAAATATTGCTCAGTTGTCTCCTGGCATAGAATACTGCTGTAGAAATGCTTGAGATCAACCTAAGTTATTTCCCTTATAAATGATTTGCTTTAAAGCCTGGATGATTACATAATTATTTTCTTATTTCTTATTAAAATATAATACTTTATATTTTAATATAAATTTATTGTACTATGTGGATAACAATTATCCTTAATTGGATCATTTTTGCTTTCTTCATTCATTAATTTCTCTTAAAATGCTGTTATCTACCATTTGCAACAGCATGGATGGACCTGGAGAGTATTATGGTAAGTGAAATAAGCCAATTGGAGAAAGATAAGTATCACATAATCTCACTCATTTATGGAATATAATGAACAACATAAACTGATGAACAAAAATAGATCCAGAGACAGAGAAGCATAGAACAATAGCATGTAGGTTGGAGAACACAAATAATATTGGAAGAGAATCAAAAAGTCACCCACTCTATATAAAAGCATATTGAATACCTAGACAAAGCCATTGAAGCATTAACAAAATCCTAAGAAACAACAGAAAGAAATCACAAGAAAGGGAGTGAGGGAGAGTGGAAGGGATGGAACAAAGACCATATAAAAAGACAGGGTGTAGATTAAAAGAAAATGATTCAAGGATAAAAGGAAAACAGAATTGGAGAGAGGGCACTAGGATTTTAAGAATGCTTAGACTCTGCTTTCTCTGCTGAACTATTCAGAACTTTCAGTTTATTCCTCATCTGGAAGGAGCGATAGAACTCTTATTTCTGTTAAGAAAAAGTCAAAATCACTTTTTACCTTTTGCACTTTCTATTACATCTCAGGAAGAGGAACAAAAAAAGTTATACATTTAATGTGCTGCTATCTAGATTTGGGACATTAATAAAAATTCTCATGACTTTATCTTTCAACAATGGGCTTTATGGTAGGTGTGGTTGGAGTCAGTTGTGAGTGCTGCTGCAGTATTTTCTGTTTTTTGTTTTTTTTAATCCTCACTTGAGGACATGTTTAGAGAGAGGAAGGAAGATAGAAAGATAAAGAGATAGATAGATGATAGATGATAGATAGATGGATAGATAGATAGATAGATAGATAGATGATAGATAGAGAAATGTTGATGTGAGAGAGAAATGTCCATTGCCTTCTGTGCATTCCCCAACCCACAACCCAGGTATGTGCCCTGACCCTGAATCGAACCAGCAACCTTTCGCTTGCACAGCACTCAATCAATTGAGCCACTCTGGCAGGGCTGTTTCTTTTCTTGAGAGTGAGGCTTTGAAGATATTGTGTCAGGCTTTGCCTTTGTGGCAGATTGGAAAAACAGCCCCAAATTCTTTCATTTTTATAGGAGCACCTCTTTCCATTATGGTTTTGTAGCTTCTCCTGTCAAGAAGGTGGCCTTTATTTTCCACCCCTTGAATCTGGGCTTAGCTTTGTGCTTGTTTTGGCCGATGGGATATTACCAAGTATGGTGCAAGCAGAGGGATACAAAGCACTTGAGCTGTGAGGTCTGATCTCTCTTGCTGTTCTTGGAACTTGATGGCCACTGTATGTAGAAGCCGAGGCTAGCCTGCCAGAGAATAAAGAACATGTGGCTCAGCTAACCTGATATTCTGGTTGATAACCTGCCACTTGTCAGACATGTGAGTGGAAGATCCTCAATCCCACAACCATCAGTAGACCAACCATCTAAACACAAACTCTTGGAAGAACCCAAGAGAGATAGGCCAAACTATCCCAGATCAGAACATAGATGACCCACAGAATCTTGATGTTGTTTTAAGACACTTAGTTTTGTGTTGGAGGGTGCTTTTTAAAATAGCAACAGATCCAGCATCTTTTGCTATTGTTATTGTTGTTGTTAGGGATAGGAAGAGAGAAATTCTAAAATGCAGAAATTGTTCAACCAAGTTGCAACACTTAGTTGGTTAACATTGTTATTAGGACACTCCTGAATATTAATTACAACATAAACTCAACATAATTACTTGTTAGTTATCTAATACTTTACAATTCACCTTCCTATAAGGTAAATTCAGGGGCTTCATACATTTGAAACATTGTGCTAACCACATCTGTATTCTCTTGAGTGAAAGTCCATGCAATCAAAAGGACAATCTTATTTCTTTTTCCTTTTTCTCTTCTTTTCTTTTCTTCTTTTTTTTTTTTTTTTTTTTTTTTTTTTTGAGACAGCTCTGCTTTAGTAACCTGCGCTTCCAATTTCATTCGGACAAAAAATGTGTTTAATTGAATGCAACTTCTCAATTTTTTCTATGCCTATCTTTATCCTTCCCTATTTTAAATTTTATTCAAAAAGGTATTAATCATCCACCAAAGGAATTTACAATGGATTCATTTTGGTCTGTCAATATGGAAAATCTCAGCACAAATCCTACAAAGGGGCCACAGAAAATAATGGCAAACAAATGCTGAGAAGCA